GTAATTAACGAATCCAGATATGGACTGTTGTAAAGAAGACACCAAGATGTCGTTATTGTCATGAACGAGCCCCAATATACGACGAGCAAGGTAACGTGCAGTGAGCTGCTGATGATTTTCCTTCCCCGTATTGTCTAGACAAGTGTGGGGTTCGACAACTTTAGTTATCCTCCACTTGCCATCACTCTATCTCTTTCGTGCATTTAACCTCCACATACAACAGTTTTTGCATATCACGTGGTACCTCAACTCCTGGTCCGAATGAGTGATGGTGTACGGCCTATGGTGGTACACAGCATAGTCCTGAAGGAAGAGTTTCATCTCTGATATTGTGTTGAATATCATCCCCTTCCTAAGGGTTTCTTTCTCATGGTTATACAATGAATTCCTACACATCTGGAGGCCGGTGTCACAAACTGCCATATTTGTCATGCTGACATCCCTATAGTTTGGAACACCCCTGAAAGGTACGTTCTTGGACCTTAGTTGCTCAAGCTCAGTCGCTATGTAAGGTGGTGGTTGAACATACTGCTGCGCTTCGCTAATTCTGGCCCATGAATCATAGGAGGTATCATCTGCAGCCAAATCTGTGACTAGTCTACCCTGAGCCTGGACACCATGCAAAACCTCAGTTGGTACTAGTAATGGCATAGTATGAACTGGTACTGGCATGGCATCAGCCGGTATTGGCATATCATCTGGACCTCCTAGGTCATCATCAGAATCGTCTGAATCACTGCTAACTACATCACCGATCATGTCCTCCTCCTCCTGCTCATTCTCTTCCCGTTCGAACTCATTCACATCGAAGTCATTGCTTATACAACCTACTGCAGTTGAATGAAACTGCTCCTGCGTCAACTGACCATCCAAATCCATGTTATCCTGAGTTGCTTTCCCTTCAACCCCTAATTCTTTGTCATTGCCTCCCAAACCATCAATGGATGGGTCGTCCTGAACACCCTGCATCCTGTACCCATTCTCCACCACCACCTCAGCCATGGGCACATTGGAATCTTAGAGAACCCTAGTGTAGTGGGACTAGTGAGCAGGGTCGCGCAAGGACATGAGGACATAGTGTGCCCTAGTCTTCTCAGTATCAAACCTCCTCATCAGTGTGAAATCACCACCAAACTTTGCATTCAAATGGACACAAAGGTCGTTGAAGCTAGGACGTTCATCAAACTATTCCAATTCTTCTTCCATATCCTCAAACATACCATCTTCTCTCCTAACACTTCCTCCATACAAAACTCTAACACAACAATCCATCTGCAAAAGCATTTCAAGAAACTTCATCAAGACGTCGAAATCGTCGTACGTAATGTCCATAGTAATATTAATACATATTCTAATTATAACTATACTAACTAATCTAATATTAACATCTATACAAGGCTAACTACAACAACTAATTAGACTAAATCCAATGCATAACTAGACTCAATAACCGTACTAACTAAACTACCTATACTAACTTACTATATTACCTATACTAACTAAACTAACTACCTTTACTAACTATACTAATTATACTTTAATAATTTTACTAACTTTATTAACTATACTAACTATATTAGGGGAGTACCTCGCTGCAGCGCGCTAGACCGGGCCGGGAGGCGTGGGCGCAGGCCTCGGCGGGCAGCCGCCGTGCATGGCCAGAGGGGGTGGCGCGCCGGCGTGCAGGCGCGGCGGCCGCACCGGGCGGTGTAAGGTCGAGATGGCGGACTAGAGGGGGGTAAATAGTCTATTCAAAAATTAATCGCGTCGGCTAACCGAAACAAGTGCAAAATTAAAACTATCGGTCTAGCCAAGACTACACCCCTTTATTTATGTTCTCAAGCACCTTCCAAAGATACTAATTAAGCGACAGCGGTGCCGGACTAGCTAGAGCTCACCTAACCAATTCTAGAAGCAAGGTCACACAAACCTAAGCCACTAGTACTTCAAGCAACAAGGGAGCTCCTACACAAGATAGTAAGCAAAAGCACAAAGCCACTTAAGCTCACTAGCAATGCTCAATAACAAGGTAACCAATGCCAAATTAGAGAGCGCAATTACTTAGCTACACAAACTAAGCAATGTAACTAACAAGGTTACACAAACCAAATTAGCCACGCAAGGGAGCTACTTCTATGCTACACAAGCAAGAAGGTAACTAGTAAGCTACACAAGCTAACTAATTACAAGAGCAACAACACAAGCTCAATGTATATGAAAGCAATTACAAGCTTATGTAACGGGGATGCAAACCAACGGGAAGAACAAGGTTGACACGATGATTTTTCTCCCGAGGTTCACGGGTTTGCCAACATGCTAGTCCCTGTTGTGTCGACCGCTCACTTGGTGGTTCGGCGGCTAATTGGCATCACCCGCCAAGCCCGCACGTCGGGCACTGCAAGAACCTACCCCGAAAGTGAGGGTAGCTCAATGACACGCTCAACTAGAGTTGCTCTTCGCGGCTCCCGCGGGGCGAGCACAATGCCCCTCACAAAGCTCTTCTCCGGAGCACTGCACAAGCTTCTTGCGGGCTTCGACGGAGACCACCATCAAGCTGTCTAGGAGGTGGCAACCTCCAAGAGTAACAAGCACCACCGGCTTGCAACTCGATCACCTAGTGCCACTCGATGCAACCTCACGATGCAATCGCACTAGAATCGCTCTCTCACACAATCGGATGATCACTATCAAGTAGATGTGAGATGGAGGGCTCCCAAACACTACTACACAAGCCACCAAGGCTCTAGTGTGCTCAGCTCCTGGCCCAAGGCTGACCATGGCTTCTATTTATAACCCCACGAACAAATAGAGCCGTTACCCCTTCACTGGGCAAAAGTCGGGACGACCGGACGCTAGACCTCAGCGTCCGATCACGCGATACTCGCCATGTGTCCCCTCCTTCAAACGCTGTTCATCCGATCTCAACGGTCATCTGACGACCGGACGCAGCAGCTTCAACTGACCGGACGCTGAGCCTCCAGCGTCCGGTCGTTTCCAGTAAGGTTCTAGAAACGACATTTCACGACCGGATGCGTCCGGTCATGCTCGACCGGACGCAGCCAGCATCCGGTCACTCAACGACCCTTCAGAGCGCCCCATGCCAGCGTACGTCAGCATTGACCGGATGCACCCTGCCAGCGTCCGGTCACATTTAGTGCCAGCGTCCGGTCGAAGACCGAAACGCGCGCCCTCTGCTGCCACTGACCGGACGCGCTAGTCCAACCGAGACCAGCGTCCGGTCACTTACAGTGACCTCCGTATTTTCTGTCTAGGGCGCCGGTGGCACCATCGGACTGTCCGCACTCTATGGGCGGACACTCCGCCGGTGAAGTTTCTCCTTTCGCCTTCGTTTCATCGCCGAGTTGATCCACATCAACTCCAACTTCACCTCCTTTGTAAATGTGCCAACACCACCAAGTGTACACCATCATGTGTATGTGTGTTAGCATTTTCACAATCATTTTCTAAAGGATTAGCCACTCAACTTGCCACGCCACTCAATCCTAGCGACGATGCAAAGTTAGATCACTCGAGTGGCACTAGATGACCGATATGCAAACAAGTTTGCCCCTCTTGATAGTACGGCCATCTATCCTAAACCTGGTCATCAACTTCTCTACACACCTATGACCGGTGAAATAAAATGCCCTAGGTTATACCTTTGCCTTGCGCATTCCATTCTATCTCCTCCAATGTTGATGCAACATATGCACCAACATGATCAACAATGATATGATCCACTTCATATCATCACGTGATCATATTGGTTCATCGATCTTGACTTCACTTGCTTTTCACCGTTGCCTTTGTCCATCGGTGCCAAGTCTTGTCTTGATCTTCTCCACCTTGATCACATAACTCAATGTCATGTCTCATTTGCAATGAGCTCCTTCATCATCACATGTGTGAGCTTTGCAACATCTCCAAGCCATTTTCACCTTCATGGCATATGTTGCTCACACATATATATCTGTGGACTAATCACCTGTGTATCTCACATAAACATAATTAGTCCACCTAGGTTGTCACTCAATTACCAAAACCACACAAGGACCTTTCAGGCGGCCGGTGGCCGTGCCGTGCTCGGCGGCGGGCTGGCTGGCGCGGGCGCGGACGTGGCCGCGGCGGCCGGCGTGCTCGGCGGGTGGGGCGCGGGCGGACGCGGGCGCGGCGGCCAGGCGGCCTTGCTGCGTTGCTGCTCGGGCAACGGCGGCTGCTCGGCCACTGACGGACGCGGGACGCGGTGGGGGTTTTATTCGGCCCTGCCGCGCCACGGATCAGGGCGCGGCACTGCCGCGCCAAGATCAGTGGCGCGGCAGGCCCTGCCCGCTCAGTAGTCAGCGGTTCCGGTCACCGCCACGTCAGCCCTTTGCCGCGCCACCATGCATGGCAATAGGCGCGGCCAAAAGTGTTAGTTTAAAAAAAACGACCGTGTTAGATTTAAAATTAATTTTGAAAAAGAGTCAAAATTAAAAAAAAAATCGACACAGCTGGGGCTGGTGTCGGGTTGCTGACACAAGAGGTGAGGAGCCCGTGCGTGCTGGGCGCCGGCCGAGTCAGTGAAACCAGCCCGTCATCAGGTCCCAACGATCTGCAATGCGGCCCATGCTCGCGCTCTATCTCAATCCCAGCTCGGACAGTATGCGCAAGGCTAATAAGAAGGAAAAAAAAGTCCTTTTAACCAGGCAAGCAACATGAGTTTGATATAACTTAAACTTGTATTATTAGATTTCAAGTGAAACATATTGAAGACCTAGGGAGGCGCCGTTTAAAGGATGACAAGACGTATTTTACTTCAAGTACTATGTTTCTATAAAACCATTCGGCCATTTTTACAAATAAATACACAGGAATACAACCCAACCATTTTATATTAGAAAAAGACCAGGGTCCATGCTGTGCAATTTACATCAAATAGCACCTCGATCCTAGGGTGCTCTTTTTTTAAGAAGTAAAAAAAAAAATCTTCTCTGTACAAGACGAAGCCCAGGCAGATGGATTCAGGAGCTTAGCGTAACATCGCTGTGCCTGCTCCCGTTCTCCATCCGTATCCATGACACGGCCGATAAGGGTTCCTCCGTGACCTGAATGATCCTCGCTCCTCTGGGCCAGTCACCGTATCCCCCGTACCCCGTGTGGCGTGCGAAGCACAGCCACAGCTCCTCGTAGGGGCAGCACCAGTCCAGCCCGTGGTTGTGCCCAACAAACACTGCCTGTCATCAATCAAAAGAGAATAGTGTCAGTGTGTGATCATTGTGATATATATTACTACTCCCTCTTTATCCAGTATATAATCATTGTGATCTAAGCACCCGAACAGTGATGGATTAAGTTAGTTATCTGAACAACTGATTGACGCACCTTAACTGACGGCCTCTTGGCGAGTGCATCCATCAAGGCCCCATTCAGCTGCCTGTGGCGCCACTTCCTCCTTGTTGATGGAGCCAACGCAGGGCTTCCTTATCTCTGACTTGGCCTTTGGAGCTACCTTGACGTACGCCGTGCTTGGTATATGCCAGAAGATTGTTGGCCTACAGTTAGCCTCTCGATCACCGAGATGGCATTCAGATCACTCCGTTAGTCTCACAGGATCACCGGCTCACGACAGTGAACCACTCCGGCCAATCTTGCCGAGCACCGGCTCAGGCGAGTGGGGCACTTGACGGTCTCGCCGAGCACGCGCTAGTGTTGCCGAGCACCCACTAGCCGTGCAGACCATGTACCGGCGTTGTCCGTACCCACACACTACGGACGAGCTTAGAAGAAGAAGGGAGAACACGAGCAAGCACGCACAATACAAGACAACAGCGTTGGTCGAGATCCTGTCTGTGTGATGGCAAATATGAGCTCTCTTTACTGAGTTGCCATACATGTCTATTTATACAACTCTAACTATCTAGTCCATGTGCAGCGCCCATGCTGGCACAGTAACTAGATAACATGACAGTGACTGACTCGCTGCTTAAGCCCGCTGTTCTCTCTGATCTTTGCGCAGTGAGCCGTCTGGCGCTTTGCACTGGCGGACTCTTGTATCTGGCGAGGGGGCAAAGTCGGTGCCGCCTTCCCTTGCTGTGTTCACACACACAGCAGGCGGCTAAGTCGGCGCCGCCTTCCTCTGCTGTGTTCACACAAGGTGGCAGTAGATTAGCTAACAAAGATGAGCTCAGGGATCCTGCGGAAAAAAAGAGAGGATGATGCTATAGATTTCCATTTGGCACGGGCACTATGGGCCGGCACAGGCATGACACTAAGAAGCACGGCCCGGCCCGGCTGCCGTCGCGCCCGTGCTAGGCACGGCCCGGTTATAGTGCCGTGCATGGCCGCCATGTCGGTCCGTAGTGCCGGCCTAGGCACGGCACGATTATTGGGCTGACATGATCTGGCCCGTTTATTCTCCACCGTTAGATACGACCTGATGAACCAGAGCCGTTGGATACCGGTATATAAGCATCTCTCACACACCAAACCCTACTTCCTTCTCTCAATCTCTCTCTCCCTCTCATTTCCTCATATGCGCCGACGCCCCGAGGGCCTCAGGCCGGCTCGGCGGCTCCCTTCCCCAATGCCCCGAGGGCCTTAGGCCAGCTCCCTCCCCCATGCCCTGAGGGCTTCAGGCCGGTGACGTGCCGACGTATCTGCAGCAGCGGCGGGCACGTCGGCCGGCGGCGGTGCATCTGCGACACAAGTGACGCGTTGGCAGTGAAGCAGGCAATGACTTTGGCGCCCATCCGGTAGCCGTGGCGGCGGCGGTGGCGGAGCAAAGCGGCTGTAGGTGGCGGTGGTGGCGCATCTTCTTCCCCAGCCACTCCACCTCTTGCGGCGCGCGCGATAGCCTCTGGGTTGGCGGAAGTGGAGGAGAGCCTCTCGGCGTCGCGGGTGGTGGCTAGGGGCATCTTCGGGTGGAGAGCGGGCTGCCACCTCCTATGGCATGCGCGCAAAGACGACTAATAGCCTATAGTGCCGTGTTCGGGCGGATGCGGCACGGCGCCCCTACGTGCATGGCGCCCGCGTGCCCATCGTGTCATGCCCGGCGTGCCATGCGCGCTGCCGTGCGCAGTGGCGCGTCATTTGGCGGCCCGTTTGGCCATGTATAGATGATTCTGATATTGATATTATTATCATGGCCTAGTAAAAGTTTGTGAAATGCGATTCGTGACCATTTCTAACCTTCAATTAGGATTCAGGCCGAGACCATTGTGGAACCACTTGACACGACACCACTTGATTGTGCGACCCACCGCCCGAGTCGAGGAAATACATGAGCAGAGCCGGATCGTCGCCGCGGGTTCGTCGTCGCGAGAGCACCTGCAGAACGTAGTTGGAGACGCCTGGCCTCAGCTCCATGGGGCCGCTGGACGAGTAGGACAGCCTGTTGGCACCGACCTCCACCGCCATGAGGTCGATCCGGGGAGTCCTCAAAGCTGCACCCTGAATCCGGCGTGCACAACGCCCAGACAGAATCAACGCAAGGAAGGGAAGGGATTCGGCAAAGAGGATACCGTGTCTATCATCTAGTGTCGAGGTGAGAGCTGGTGAGCTCACCTGAATCCGGCGTGCTCGTCGGCGGCGGCGGGCAGCGCAACGGCGGGACGCCGTCGGGGGGGGACCACTTGGGCGGCCATTCGAAGGGCATGTCGTCGTGGTTGCCGAACACCGTCGCCCACGGGATGCCGCGGCCTCGGGCGGCGGAGAGGGCGCGGTCCCAGTACAGGCTCGCGTTGGGGATCGTTAGGTTGTTCGCCGTCACGAGGGCGCCGAGGTACACCCCGAAGTCTGAGAAGGATTGCGCACACGGCAGAGACAAACGGAGTTGAGTGGAGTGGGAGAATGGCCACAGAACGCGGGAAGGAAGGGAATCAATAACCATCGGCATCATCAGGGACCTGGGTTCTCGGCGTCGAGGACGGCGGCCATGACGCGGTCGAACGCGATGTCCTACGCGGGGCCCCAGTCCGTCCACGCGTCCTCGCCGTAATGCAGGTCCGCGAACAGGGCCACCTTGAACACTCCTCCTGGCCCGAACGGCAGCGGCGGCCGCCCATGCCCGTGCGCGTGCTCCGTCGCCGGACGCAGCCCGGCCACCGCGAGGGCGGCAAGCAGTACGGCGGCGGCGGCAACAACGGAAGGGAAGAGGGAAAAAGAAAGAAAAATAAGGCTTCCGGAGGTGTGCCGTCCTCCTCTTCGCGTGGGTCCCGCTGACCCTGTAGATCGTGCTGGCAGCTACGTCGTACTGGGGTCCTGTTGGCTGCTGCAGCATACGTGCAGGCGTCGTTCTTGTCTTCCATCCCATCCGAGCGGACGGAATGGTCAAAGGGTCATCTAACAGAGGCCATACGGGGGCTGGCGGTACGGTGCCAGTCAATCTGACGTCAGTTGACTGACGCTGGACGGTGGTCAGGCAGGGAGTTGGCAGCATAGTGCTGGCCTGTTGACGCGGTGGGCGACGTGAATCTCCCAGCATGGCCTGATGTGACCGCCCGTCGCATCAGGACGCTTCCGAGACGTGCTCCCGGGAGTGCGCCTTCATGCCGTAGTGGTTGAAGCGGTTCAGGTCTCACCCTGGGGCCACTGCTTTTGTCCGGTAGCGAATCCGACCCCCAAGGATCGGGCGAAGGCGGAAATCTCGCCCTGGGAGCCAGGCGAGACGGAATCCGACCCTCGGGGATCGGACAAGGCGGAAACCTCGTCCTTGGAGTCGGACGAGGCGGAAACCTCGTCCTCGGCATCGGACGAGGTCGCAGTTACGTCCTTAACCTTTGAACGAGCCGATGAGACGCTCATTAATCCTTTGGCTCACCCGGGTATAGATATCCGACATGTTGCTTTCAGTTACAGGCTTTTGAAGAAATTCAGGAGCAGCCTCTTCATTGTTTCTTGCAATGGTTTTTTCTCTACTGTATGTTGCAAGTGCAAGGTGGAAGCTGTCAATAAAAGTAAGATTTATAATATTTGGCTCTTGTTTATTGGCTTTGGTGTATAGGTATTCAGTTCCTGGTCCCTGTATTCGTGCTCAGGTAGCTGAATGATTTAGACTTTTGGAATAATCTGGTCCTTTGTTCATATGCTTCCATGACTGTATGCTAAGAAAATTGCCTCCATGATTTAGGAGTTGGATCGGTACTTCTGCTGAGAAGAAACTTACCTGATTCGAACTTACCTGATTAGAGAATTGTGTGTACTGCTACGATTCTTAGGTGGATTGATGCTTCCACCTGTCACTACTAGCCATTGTTGTTTATTTTTGTGATTTTTGCAGCCTGTTAGGAAGCTCAATTTGATTGGTTGATGTAAAGAGAACGATGGTACAAGTGACTTCAAGGATGACATCTTGGTACGTTCTATTCCATCTACCTTTATCATTGCATCATTCTGTTTTTTCCCTTTCGGGAGTAAGTAATTGGCAATTCAAAATATCCTAGCCCGGTTTAGAGTGTTATTACTCCATCAAGTGCATGTAGGAGGTTGCTTGTCTGATTCATCGACATTTTCTTTTGTATCCTACTGTTCTTAGGTAAAATATATTTGTCCTATGCAACCGTGAGAATTTACCTTTAATTTATTTAAATGGCGGAGTTAGATGTTACATGGTTGATTGGTTAGCTCTATGCGGCTTGGCTCACCTGCATTGGCCTCATCTCCCTATCGCTTGAAGTAAGTGGTCTCCGCTTCATCTGTGGCCTAAGACAAAAAGACATCCTCCTCCGCTTGCTTGTTTTGTGCTAACAAGTGCGCTTCCATAGAGTGATGAGCTCGCTCAATCTAGCATAGTCAGTCCTCATCCTCGCCACCCTCATCGGCCTCCACAATCTGAGATAGCACATGGCGAGCATCTCTCTTTTGTTGCTCCTTTGCCTTTCTTTTTTCAACCTTGCATGTGCTACCTTAGCGGCATGCTCATCGCTACGTCCTCTCCATGCATGGAAAAATACAATAAGTCAGCAACGAGAATAGAAATAAAAACAAGGTACTAAAACAAATAGACAGTCGAGAAGCACTCAATAGAAAGCCTAGGCAATCCAGCAACAAGGTCTTTCATGACCTGCATCTGAACTTTTTCGCCTCCCTTGCCCTTTCCACCTCTTTCTTCTTTTCGGCAGCCAACCGCCTTTTATGCTCCCGAAAATACCACTCATTTGTACTTGGATGTATAGGGCGAAGCAGACCCCTTTCTCTTGCTTTCTTACGCATCTCCTATATGTGTTGCTTAACGAAGACATCGACGAGCTGAGATCCACACCCTAGCTTCTGTCCCATTACTTGCTTCGCCTTGATTGTATCCCAATATTCATCTCTACCATAATAAGGCTCCCATTTGCATTTTTAGTGCTCTGTTCAACATAAAAAGATAAGCCACTACGTGCCATAAATTCCAATAGAAAATTTCCAAAACTATACCAACCTCATCATAATCAACCATATGGTCACACCAATGGCTTATTCCACGCTTCGAAGGAACTAGGCCGTAGTGGGCTTCAACGCCACATTTGCACAGTACCGGAGGGGCTAGGATTATTATCCTCTCTTTCTTCTTTTCCTGTGGCTTCGGCCAATGAGACATAGGTCCATAGAGCCACTCCATGAAATCACACTTATAGTGTCCACGCTGCAAAACAAAACACATTAGTACACGCAACACATGAAAATATAAGATTGAAGAGAAAAAATAGGTGCACTTACTTCATTCTTGTTTCACACCCAAACACAGGCGCACTCCCCGGTGAAACCACAATTCAATCTCCACAATGACACAGAGGAGGGTTCTCAAGTCGTTCTGAGGAGGCTTTGTTCTTCTCTTCATCTAACATTGGTGGAGGGTTGGGGGGAGGTGGAACCCACCACTTGAAATGCTCGTGTTTGACATGACTAAACCAATCCTTGATAAGGAGGTACCTTGGGTCTAACTTGTCAGGACCATCGATCCAATGAAAGAAGTAGCACTTCTCGTCCTAAAAACATAATTCAACGAAGTTAGCATGAATTTCATGACAAATATGAAGGAACATACGATGAACTATTGACAAACAACTACTTACACGTTGATCTCCACAGGTGTAGAAGGCCCGAGTAGTTGTATCCGAATGCCTAGATTGATACACCAAAGCCGGCTTTCCATAGTCACAGTTAGGGACCGGTAGTTCTAGATGCACTGGTGCATCCAAGACGCATCGGGGTATAGGCTTTGGGACGACCACATTTTCGCCACTTCTCCCTACGCCACATGTCGTGCATGCCGCTCATATATCAATTATGGAGGGTACTATGAACATTTATCCAGTATAGTTGCCTTCGAACAATTAAAATAAGCCTAAACCTAAACATAATAACTATCATCATCACCAAAATCATGAACATGTCCTTACACGTACATGTATAAATCGAGAGCAGAACCTATACATTTAAATAATAATTGCTTCAAACCCTAACTAATGGCGTACCTATGTTTGCAAAATACACATAATATAGACCAAATCAATGCTCAAATTGAGAAGGGGAGAGATGATACCTTGCTCTCGAAGATCTATGGATCAAATCCAAATTTCCAAGGTCCAATATGTCGATTGGAAAGGATGGGCGGGTTGGGGAGAGGAGAGAAACGAGAGAGGAAGAGGAAGAAATGAAGGCAGACTCGGCCAGAAAAAGAGGGGGTGCAGTTTTTAAATTAAAGCTTGGCGCCATGGATTATGGCGCCGAGCTCGATGTCGAGATGTGTGGCACTGAGGTAGCTGCCACATCACCGCCACTTCAGCAACCACGTCAACCAATGCCAGATACCATGGTGTCATTACCTATGGCGCCGAGTCGTGTTGCCTCGGCGCCGTAGGTCACGGCTCTAACCCCTAGGTCTAAAGTCGGGATTACGACCCCAACGGTGTAAACCTGAATTTTTGACAAAAAGGGCTAAAATAAAAAAACGGCATAAATCAGCCCACATAGACATAGGCCCAGTTATAAAGTTTTTTGTTTTATAGAGCTGATCTCGTGCTGCTGCTCCCCACCCCTACGCATCGCCGCCCTGCCGCGTGTCCCCGGGATGTGGTAGTGGTACCTCGGTTAACCCATTCTCACGCGTGCACCTCCAGGCGTGCAGCGTGCTGCCCCTTGTGCGTGTGCGGTGCAATGCGAAGCTTTCTCGCGCCTCCTGACCCCGATACACTCCCTGCTGGCCTTCACAGTCGAATCCCCTTCGCTCCGGCCACGGCGGAATTTTTTTTTATGCGGCACCGTCGCACCGAAGCCAGCGTGCGGCACCGCGCTGATTGCTTTGGTATCAGGGTGTTGGGCCATCTAAACCGGGTTCAGATTCTCTGACTTACCCACCGATGACTTATGCCATGCCCGATGCCCTGCATTCCATATCCAACGGCTGATAGAAGAAGCAACTTTTTCACCCCCAAATAGCAAAGACCAGCTGTGGTTCTGACCCAAATACAGCCCAACTCAGGATGATATATATATAATAACATAGAGTTTTACCAAGTATTTTCATAGCAGAATTAAATGAGCATTTTACTAAATATTCTTAATAGTTACATGTTCCAAATAACCAAAATAAATTCCACCAAATGCCATCTGTTAGCGCACATGTGTTGCAGTATGCAAATACATCTCGAGCGGTAGAACACATCGGGCAAGCAAGCGCGCATGGACGCGTGCGAAGATGGGCGGCGCGGCGTGGACACTTGGCCGCGGCGGTGCCCGGTCCTGCCGGAAAAAAATCCGCAAGCCAGCAGCGACCAGTGCTGGATCTAGAATTTTATCAAAGGTTATTCCGGTCTAAAATTTTTATATACAATTCAATAAAATCGAATTATCAATTTGATAACTAATTTTTAAAATGTACTGTAGTTCGCTCATACACTAAATAAAATTAAAGTGTTATTATATTCAAAGGTTAAGAAGAAAACTTGCCTAAATTATCTAAATTATAATAGTACTAATTTAAACGCCATACTAACAGTTCAAAATATGCATAGAAGTAGCAAGATAAGTACGACACAATGTAACAAAACTCTTATGATGCAATCATAATTCATAGATGATAGATGATATAATATCTTTTATTATAAAGAAATAAATGAAGAATACAGACACACGGAAGGGAAAAAATACTACTAACGGTGATATCACTTGCGATTAAACAAACAATTAAACAAAAAAAATGATTTGTGGTCCTTTGGACGGCCTAGTGAATTCCTGGTGTCGTAAATCTCTGCAGCCTTGTTTGCTTCAGGCATGACCGCTTCGGCATTAGGAAATCATGCATGATTTTAAAGATGAGAAGGATTGCAAATGAAAAAATCGATACTATGGAAGAGAAAGAACAAGACGGCAAGTCAACATGCGGATTGCGACGCTGAACGCCGGACGGTGTGTGGTCGACCGACATGCGGACGGGACGCCGGGATGGTGCGCGCGGCTGTATTGGGCCAGAATCACTGGTGATGGGCTTTGTTATTTGGTGGAAAGGTTGCATTTTTCTATGAGCCGTTGAATACGGAATGGATGGCATCGGGCATGGGGTAAGGCACCGGTGACTTACCTTCAGTAAGTTAGAGAATCTGAACCCATCTAAACCTGGCCCATTAATCCTGTGCGAATCTGGTTGCGGAGTCGACGACCATGAGAAGGTGTCGCACGATCGGATTCTCTGCGGCACTGCCGCATAGAATTTCCTTCCGGCCACGGCCAGGAGCCCACGGCCACGGCCCGCGGTACAGGGGAGAATCTCGGTGGATCGCGCTGGGCTGTCCAGTTCCAAGTGAAGCTGGAGTATGTGCCAAGGTGATTTATGTTGATTTCTTGGTTTAGGTTCTTTGTTTTTGTATATATAAATAAAAGGTCTGTTGGATGAAGAAGGCTTGCCCCTAATAAAACTCTACGGCCGTTTGGATCGTTGAATTGAATTCATTCTGATAGTTACAATTTAGACATAGATTAATTAAGCTAATATAGCTGTATATATGAGGTGTTTGTGACTGATCCGCTACTCGTTTTTTAGCCAAACGGTTTCAGCTCCACGCACTTTGTTCGAGGAAAAGGGTGGAGTTGTGAGAGCACCTAAATAATTTCTCCACAAACTCTAGTTTTTTTCTGGAGCTGTTCTACTGTAGAGTTTGTAGAGCAGAGTTTTTAGAGTAGTCCCAAACATCCACATAAAATATATTTGTATAGTTGTTGTTGGGCATACAAGGGACATAATTATATGTTGCATTTCTATTGTAAGGAAGTGAGTTGAATAGTGTGTTATAAGTTGGAGAGTGGAATTATGGCATAGTGATCTATAGAATCTATTTTCATCTCTCAACCTATGAATTTGAGATAGGCTTATTTATGAGCTTTGGAAAGTTATGGAATGTCAAATTCCAAGCTAAATAGTCTAATCCATTAAGTAGATTTCAATTCCTCTAAAATGAAGAGATCCAAACGGCTCTAAAAAAGAATTCCTATTTGTTAAAGTATGCTATGACCAATGACCATAGACCTATGAGTTAAGCGCAGTGGTACTCACTGCAGTGCGTGAGTTCTTAGGGCGTGTTTGGAAGAGGCTTCGATGAGCTCTCGTTCCTGACACTATAGCAGCATTATTTTGCTACTGTGGCAGAGCCGCCAGAGCCTCCAACACTGGCTTCTTTGGACTCCTCTGGCCTCCTCTCTGGTGCCTGACGGAGTTAGAGCTGCTAGCATAGTTACGCACAGGAATGCACTCTAGCCGCTAAACTAGAGCAGAGCCGAATCCGTTTGAGAAGGAGCCCTACCAAACACGACCTTAATTTTTAAAGAAATAAAGGCATTGCAGATTTGCAGTCGGGGGATGGCAATGGGTGACTGGGGATGAGCAGTGAGCCTTCTCCAATCCCAATCCCCATCCCCACCTCCATCTCCATCTCCATCTCCATCTCCTCCAATCTCACCCTGTTGCAGTGCATCCACTGACTGGCAAGTCTGCAATATCCAGCACACACAGGATGGCAGAGGCAGATTGGCAGTGCCAGCAGGAGGTAAAAAAGGATTCTCTTTTATTCATTCAGGGCTCGTTTAGTTCGGCCACCGAATCGGCGCCGCCGAAATTCCGACGGTACTGTAGCTACAGTACCGTTTTGTTTTTATTTGGTAATAATTGTCTAATTTTTGACTAATTAGGCTTAAAACGTTCGTCTCTCAAAGTACAACCAAACTGTGTAATTAGTTTTTAATTTCGTCAACATTTAGTACTCCATACATGTACCGCAAATTTGATGTAACGGGGAATCTTCTTTTTGCATAGTGTCAAATTCTGGATTTGGAAGGAACTAAACGTGGCCTCAATTCAACCGCACGACACGAGATTGAACGAGATGTGTGTGATCAATCGAGTGGGTCCATGGCGACACCATCCATGGCCCCTGGAAGCTCATATGCAACTGGTACAATTATGAGTTGGCTCTTATGATGGTAATTAAAACATAGTACTAGTAGAAGACAAAATAAAATGGGATGCCCTGAACTGCTGGACATGCCGCCGGATTGTACTGTAGTACTAGGAAGCACTACATGTCATGTCCATGGGTGTTCAGCCGCACTGGTACGCCTTCTGGCAGCTGCGGCCGGTGTACGACCTGCCGGCGGCTGGGCACGACCCGAGGCAGGCTGGCTTGTCAGGATTGAGCGAGTTGGGGCTGATGCTGCCGAGGACGCGGCGGTGCACCTCCAACCCCATCGTCGACTTCGCCGTCGTCGTCACTTGCTCCATCATCATCTGCCGCGCCGCATAGGCCCCGGCGCCGGCCTTGCTGGCTAGCCCAACCTCCACGCTGCCGCCGGCGACGATAGGGCCGGCGAGTGCGAGCGCAACACCGAGCAGCAGCGCCAGCTGAAAGACGCAGCAGAACTTGCTGTCCATGCTCGCGTGTGGTGTCGTCGTTGGATCGGAAATGCAATGTGCAAGCTGGTGGCTATAGGTGAGGTGCTATGTTCACGTCGACGAGCAGTGCTGTCGATCACAATTTATAAACAGAGGTCCTCCTCCCTTGCTGAGGCCATTGCCCATTGGCCATTACAGATGGAGGCGTTCAATTTGGTGGCAGTTGCAACTTTCGACGGATGATCGTACAGTACAATACAAACATCTGCCAACCAATTTTTTCCGCCGATTCATGGAGGCGACTCACTTTTCCTATCAAAAACAAAACAACAACAACTTCACCTCGTGCTTTCACGTGCGCGGCGGCGTCGGCCGTGACCTGACCTTCACTCCAGAACCCTGTTCCAGCCCGGCGGCGGCGTCCCAGCTCCAGCCCCAGCCTCTGTCCGCCGCCCATGATCTCCGCTCCTCCTGACGCGGCAGAGCACCCAGTACAGGTCCTCCTCCTCCTCGTCGGCGCGGCGGTAGCACCGCGGGTCCGTGATCTGGTACTCCTCCAGCACCCACCCGGCGCTCCGCAGCTGCCGCCCCTGACCCGGCCCAGGCTGGGGCACGTAGAAGCAGAACTTGGCCCTGCTCCACCGCACCACGACGCCGAGGTCCGTCACGGACTGCCCGAGCCTGGTGGCGCTGCGCATCCAGGCGCCGGCGCCGGCCACGGCGCGGCGCACGGCGGTCCGCGCGCGCCCCCGCCCGCGCGCCACGAAGAAGTGGCCCCGCTCCCGCAGGCCGTACCGCGCCAGCAGCTCCCACGGCGCCGCGCCGCACGGGTCCGCCTCCAGCACGGCGCCCGCCACGCGCGGCGGGAACCCGCGCAGCTGCGGGCGCAGGAAGTGCAGCACCAGCTCGTCCTCCGTCGGGTCGAAGTCGAACCCGACGCCGGAGGAGCGCTCCGCCGCTTCCTCTTCCTCCTCGCCGTCGCCGGCGCTCAGATTCGCCTCCTCCTCTTCCATTCCTTTCCTTGCAACCAAGAAACAGAGTCGCCTCGCTTGGCAAGTCAAGAGGAGTCGTGGAGATAGTTGGACTGGCAGATTCCGCGGACACTGGCTAGAGTGATGGCTGATGGGTATTGGTCGTCGGTCGAGCCGAGCATTTCCGAGCCCAGCACACAGTTTGATTAGGCACAAAACTGGCAACTCTAAATCTATCAATCATGAAAATAAAATCCTTGGGAAAAAGACATCTCATGTTTGACCTAAAACTATACAGCTCTAATAGTAGTACCAATCTCTTGCATTGGATTTAATAACCTTACCGTATTCCATTCTCTTATTCCAAATTAGTATAGTTTACTTTTATTTCCAAGTCAAATTTCTCTAACTTTTATTAAGTTTTTAGAAAAAAAATGTGTTAACATCTACATGTTTAAACAAATGCATTATCAAAAACCATTTCATGGATTATTTAACATAACTATTTGATATTATGGATGTTGGTGCATTTTCTATAAACTTGGTCAAACCAAAGTTTAAGAAGTTTGATTTAGGACAAAACCAAGTGAGTTGTAGTTTGGAACAAACCGGATAATAAATACTAGATTGGAACAAGAATGAAAGCGATGTACTCTAAACGTTTTCCTGTAGAAAAAATAGCTAGTGGGATCAAACTGAGGATATCAGCAGATGTTTAGGGTTTTGAGACTGAAGCCAATACTCCGGTATTTGGCTTTTGCTAATTGTGGAACCATTACTAGAATGATGACATTAATTTGTTATTGCTGATTCATGCGTTGTGATCCTTTTTTTCCCTCCATGATTCAACATGATGCTCAAGCTGCAATTAAAATGCTTATGAAGATATGTTTTTTGTTCGATTGTCACAATCCCAAGACCTAGTGTTGGATCTTACCTTTTTTTCGAAAGGTGTTCGATCTTGCCATTAATAAGCTTTCGATTAACAATCTGGAAACTTCATCAAAAGGCCTTCATGGCAAATCTAAAGCCAGGAGCGGATCTTTGGTGTGGGGGGGGCTGCAGCTCCCCTCACGTCCCAACAAAGCTGGCAACAGCCAACAGGTTCTCAGACCAGGAAGCCTCCGCCGGCCTCGGTTGCTCTCACGTCTCGCGTCTCGCGTCTCCTGGCGCTGCATCGACTCCGCGTGCAGACATCGGAAAGCTTCCCGTCCGAACGGCCGGACGGAAGCCGTAAGCGAATCATCCCGCGCTCTTTTTCCGCGATGCGCAGCCTGTTCGCTTGCTCGTAAACGATCGTAAATTTTCAGCCAGAAACAGTGTTTTTCTCTCACACCAAATCAGCCAGCAGTAAATAATCCACGATACGATACGGCCTTCCGAACATGCTGCTGGCTTTTCCACGGGCGCTGCAGGCCCACGCGCGAGCGAAGCCTGGATCTAGGATTTCCGATTACAGAGCAGCGTGCAGCGTAGGTAAGTACGTATGTTTTCTTTTTCTTTTTTCTTTTCGTGCTTCATTTTTATTTATATTTTTATGTGATTTTTTTTTGTTCTTCTCATTTTCATTTTTATGTTCCTTTTTACCTTTTCTTTTTTCCTATTCTTTCCTTTCCTTTTCTTATTATTTTCTGTTTCCTTTCTTCAATTTTTTTATTTTTCGTTTCATGTGATTTTCATTATTCTGTAGTTATTAAATCGTTATCACCATATTAAAAACATTTCCCATAGAGTAGTTGTTAATACGAATAACAGAAACTCTGTTATAGCCATTTATGTACATTATTATAATTAATTATTTTATTTGTATATTGTATTATTTTTGTATTTCTTTCTTTTTTTCCTTTTTCTCTTTTCTCTTTATGTTTTCTATAGTTTTTTATTTTCCATTTTTTATTAATTATTTCTTATGTTTTTTATTTTTTATATTCCATTAGATGCTATGTTCATAAAGTATAAATGTGATGTTGTATGATTTTTTTGCGATGTTCACATGGTATATGACGTCATGTTCTGTGATGTTTTTTTAATATTCATGAAGTATACATCTGATGTTCTATTATTTTTTTGTGATGCTCACATGTTATATATGTGATGTTTTATGATGTTTTTTTATGTTTACGTGGTATACATTTGATGTTCTATGATATTTTTTGATGTTTGCGTTGTATACATGTGATGTTCACGTAATATATAATGATATTCACGTAGTATACATGTAATACTCTTTGATGTTTTTTTATAATATTCACTGAGTACAAATATGATATTCTATGATTTATTTAGTGATATTCACTTAGTATACAAACGATCTTCTATGGTATATTTTTAGGATGTTGAAAAGTATCCATTTGGTGTTCTTTTAAATTTTCTCTATTATGTATTTTTATTTATTTTTTGTATTCTTTGCTCTAGATTTTATCATTTTTATTTATGTTATGTATTTATTTACTATTTTCTATATAATTCACTATTTCTATTATTTTTATTTTTATGCATATTATAATTCCAATTACATGAACCTGTAACTAGATTCTGCTCTTCTATTTCTTTTTACTTTACTTTAATTATTTATTTCCTTTATTTTTGTTTCTCTTCTATTTCTATTTCTTTTTACTTTTCTTTTTTTCGTTCTTCCATTTCTTTATTTAATTTACTATGTGAACTTCTTTTTTGTTTCAAGATTTTTTATATGTTATATGAGATACAAGTTAAGTTCGATATGACACATGTGATTTTAATTTTCTTTTTTTCTTCTTATTCAAACTATTAATTCATTTTATTTTTTATAGTTTACCATTTGTTGTTTACAAAGTATGTGCATTTTTATTTTTTTGTTAATTTACTTTAATTAATTAATTTAATAATCTTGTTTTTTTTACTTTTACTTACTACATTATATGAGATACATGTGATGTTTTATGATATATTATGTGATGTACACGTAGTACATGTGATGTTCTATGATGTATTTTCTGATGTTCATGTAGTATACATGTGATCTTCTATGATGTATTATGTGATGTTTTTATGATGTATTGTATGTTCACGTAGTATACATGTGATGTTTTATTATGTATTCTGTGATGTTCAACTCGTATACATATGATGTTCTATAATATATTTTGTTATGTTCACGTGGTATACACGTGATGTTTTATGATGTATTTTGTCATATTCATGTAGTATACATATGATGTTCTATCATGGTTTTTGTGATGTTCACTGTAACACCCTCGGTGTAATATTGCACTGTTTTGCTAAACATCGCATGAGCATCATGGTTATGTGCATATGTGTATAACATGAATTATAAAGCAATGTTCGGTCCTTGAAACATTTATATGAAACGAAAAAGTGAATGTTATGTTTCGTGTCACATAACGTTGTTTATTATTCTAATCGAATTCTTGTTAAAACAAAAAGGTTGTAGAACGTTTTGTGGACGGCGATAAAACATGTGCGGTCGAGGACAATGATAACTAGCTAGTACATCCCGTAGGTTGGATTTGGAATTCGACGCGAAATCGTTCGAAACGACGTTGTTCGCGTAAGTTTTAGAAGAGGTCGACGAAGCCACTTTTGGCAAGCTCTGTGGAGCGATTGGCTTAAGAACTAGCGTGATGTCATGACTACGGTTGATAGCTTGATGTACCCTCTTGCGCATCGAACAATTAGTTTAGCGTTTGGAGCATTGCGTACAAGTTCTCTAACTACTTTAGAAAGCGTGCACGTCACATGGCTTAGCCCTGGGCACGGTCACCACCGCTGCTGGCTTGCCAGCGCGCACTACCATGCAGGCCGCTCCCGCTGCCACGCCGGCTACGCCCCACCACCGTGCTTGTGCACACGCACGGCCAGCGCGCCAAGGTCGTCTGCCTCTGCTGTTGGCCACGCCCCCGCTGCTACTCACCTACCGCCGCGGCTGGCTCGCCCAGCGCGCCGAGGCGCAGGCTGCGTCTCCAAGCCAACATGAATGCAATGCGTGTAGGCCTTGCACTACTGCCTTGGCTGCTTGTTGCCCTCGCTGGCGCGCGGGTCACCTCACCGGCTGTTTCGCTGCGCCCA